AATTGGCAGAGCACCTGTCCGGCAAACAGAAGATGTGGGATCATACCCCACTTGTGTTCGAGCCCGTGTGCCTCCGAATTTTTTTAATTTGTGCATTGATAATTATTCAATTATTTCCCTCGTATAGAGGTCCGGAAAGTCGATGGATAGCATATAGCATCCCACTTTCCATGTAATTTATGCCTTAAAAACATCTAAGGTTGACCGAGTAGAATAGCCCAAGGGATAATATAGATGTTCAATATACCGGTCGAAAAATGTCTTTGATTGTGATAATTCAGTACGGCTTTAAACGGGAAGGGTGGGGGGAGTGGGGATAGTGAGACGATATGCACAAGTTCTGAAATTCGGAGATGCGGAGGAGGCCACAATAGCTCAATTGGCAGAGCACCTGTCCGGCAAACAGAAGATGTGGGATCATACCCCACTTGTGTTCGAGCCCGTGTGCCTCCGAATTTTTTAATTTGTGCATTGATAATTATTCAATTATTTCCCTCATATAGAGATCCGGAAAGTCGATGGATAGCATATAGCATCCCGCTTTCCAAGTAATTTATGCTTTAAAAACATCTAAGGTTGACCGAGTAAAATAGCCCAAGGTATAATATAGATGTTCAGTATACCGGTCGAAAAATGTCTTTGATTGTGATAATTCAGTACGGCTTTAAACGGGAAGGGGGGGGGGAGTGGGGATAGTGAGACGATATGCACAAGTTCTGAAATTCGGAGATGCGGAGGAGGCCACAATAGCTCAATTGGCAGAGCACCTGTCCGGCAAACAGAAGATGTGGGATCATACCCCACTTGTGTTCGAGCCCGTGTGCCTCCGAATTTTTTAATTTGTGCATTGATAATTATTCAATTATTATCCTCGTATAGAGGTCGGGAAAGTCGATGGATAGCATATAGCATCCCACTTTCCATGTAATTTATGCCTTAAAAACATCTAAGGTTGACCGAGTAGAATAGCCCAGGGGATAATATAGATGTTGAATATACCGGTCGTAAAATGTCTTTGATTGTAATATTTCAGTATGGCTTTAAACGGGAAGGGTGGGGGGGAGTGGGGATAGTGAGACGATATGCACAAGTTCTGAAATTCGGAGATGCGGAGGAGGCCACAATAGCTCAATTGGCAGAGCACCTGTCCGGCAAACAGAAGATGTGGGATCATACCCCACTTGTGTTCGAGCCCGTGTGCCTCCGAATTTTTTAATTTGTGCATTGATAATTATTCAATTATTTCCCTCGTATAGAGGTCCGGAAAGTCGATGGATAGCATATAGCATCCCACTTTCCATGTAATTTATGCCTTAAAAACATCTAAGGTTGACCGAGTAGAATAGCCCAGGGGATAATATAGATGTTGAATATACCGGTCGTAAAATGTCTTTGATTGTGATTCTTCATTAATAGTTTGGAGGGTTCGAGCAACTCATAATATACAACACCTCTCTGATCCTACCAAATGCAGAGCATAACCTTGGCACTGTGAATATTTCTTCGCATAGGCTTTTTGGCGTTTAGGATTCTCATAATATATCCATTTTTCATCTCCTGTGACTGTTCGATGCAAAAATCCTTTTCTTTGCTGTCTTTGAAGTAGCATTTCACAAATTGTTTTTCGACGTTCCATGTCTCTTTCAATTCATATGGAACTCAGTTACCAACGTTTTGAACCATTTCCATTACTTTTCAGCGCTTTGCAACAGTTGATCGTTCAACATTTAACGCTGCAGCCAATTCTGATTGAGTTTGGCAAGAATCCTGTGCCAATAATGCCTCCAATTCAGCATCTTCAAATTTTTTTTGTGGTTTTCCATGTTCTCTGTCCTCAGTGCCAAAATCATTATTTTGAAATCGTCGAAACCATTCCTTGCAAGTTGTATTAGATGGAGCATGCTCACCGTAAATCTCCACAAGCAAACGATGAGTTTCCGCTACACTTTTCTTTGCAATATAATAGTGTAATAACACTTCCCGCAAATGATGTTTACTTGGAACGAAAACCGACATTGTCACGGAGGTAAAAACACTTGTTGCTTACATCTCAACCAAATGTCACGTAGTGCGTTTGACAGCTGACATGAAGTACTATCGAATACAAGTGTTGCCATTTATTAGTGCACGTGAGCAATGCTAAAAACGACATCTATTGGGAAAGGGCGGAGTCATATTCACACACCTAATAGTTTTCCGAATGTGTGTGGGTGTTAGCAGACCTGTTTTGGTTTGAATGTTTGTCATTCGAGAATTTCGATTTGAAATTCCTGCTGCCATTGTTGAAATGACGATACGGATGATGATTGTTACGATTTTGGGCGAATTGCTGTGAGGAATTATTGTGAGAAGTGCTCGGGGCGTTCTGATTGAGATTATTGTCGAAATTTGTGCATTGTCTGGCGAAATGGCCAAAACGTTGACATTTGTAGCACTGAATTCTCGTCTCAGAATTGGAAAATCTCTTTTGTGTGTCACGATTTGATGAGAAATCGCGGTAATTATTTTGGAGTTGAGAATTTGATGAAGTTTGAGACTGATGTTTGTTAATGACAGAATAGGAAATTGCGTCAAGTTCAGTTGCTCGTTCAACTGCGCGTTGGAAATTATCAATGTTTTCAGATTTTAAAGTAAATTCCATTTGTGGATTATTGATTGCACTGATAAATGCGCCACATGCAGCACGATCACGTTCCTCTTCAGAAGAACTTGAATAAGTCAAACGGCTGAGTCGATCAATTTCTTCTGAAAAAGTGACGTAACTTTCACCTTTTCTCTGTTTTCGGGATTGTAATTCGTTGTAATACATTTTGGAGAGGTGTTTCTCATCAAATTTGTTACTCAATACCTTTGTGATTCTTTTGTAATTTATTTTCTGCTCATCAGATAGTTTACTCAAAATTAACCGAACTTTACCGCGAAGACGAGTCAATAATTAGGCAGCTTTAGTCTGTTCTGACCAACGATTATGTGCTGCACCAATTTCAAATTGGAGATAATAATGAGACCAGAGTTCAGAACCGTCGTAAGTATCTGGTTTAATGTGAGAATTTTTTTCTAGATGGGGTGAATGAGAAGTATTAGCATCAGCATGAGTATAAGCATTAGGATTTGTATTTGCATTGTAATTAGTAAAAGCAGTGGAAGTAGAAGCAAAATAATTTTGAGAGTTATCTGATAAATTCCTCGGTGGTGGATATGGTGGGACTTGGATCCATGGTGGGTATTGTGGTGGATCAGGAAGTATCGAGGTCTCTGGTATATGTCGAAGAGGTGTGTTCGGGTGCACTGGAACTGGTTGTGGTCGATTCAGTTGATTCGAAGAATATCGATAGGTATTTCCAGGGACTAGTCCAGGTTGAGATGTGTTTGAATACACTGGAGGGTGCCCAAGAAGATGTTGAAGAGGGTTCAGAATATTTTCTGGAGGGTTTCGGGCTGCTGACGTTCCTGTAGGCTGTTGTTGAGAGGTCAGAAGCACTTGTGGAGGAGCTGAATGAAGCCTGCGGGGTAGTTGTTGGAGATTCAGAGGGATATCTTGAGGATTTGAAGCTGTTAGATTCCTCGGAATTTGTTCTTGAGAGTTGAGAGGGACACTCTGGATGTTGGGAGTTGTTAGGTTCCCTATGGACTGTTGTACGAGATTCAGAAGGACTTCTTGGAAGTTTGAAGCTGTCGGATTCCCTAGGGGTAGTTGTTGAGGGTTGACAGGGACATCTCGGACGTTAGGGGTTGCATAATTTCCTGGGGTCTGTTGTTCAGGGTTTAGAGAAGCACCAGAAATGTTTGGGGCTGATCGGATCTCTGGAAGTTCTTGTTGACGATTCGGAAGATTTTCAGGGATATTAGGAATTGCTGGGTTGTCTGGAAGATTCCTTGATAAATTGAAGAGATCATTCCGGGCAGCTCGACGCTCTTCTTCCCTGTCTTGACGTATGGTCTCACGTAAGTCAGTGACGACGTCATTCAATTGCCCTCGAAATTCGTGTCGAAGACGATTTTCCATCTGTTCTAGTTGAAGCAAGACGGAGTTCGGTTGCTGGAGTTCTTCATCCAACGGTAAATGGGGACGAAAACACGAAGCAAAGGGGCCGGGATGTTCCTCCAAATAACCTGTTCTTCTTCTCCCTCTCCCCGTCATAATTGAATAAAAAAAAAAGAAAGTCACTCACCAGTCAATCAAAATTTTCCCTTTCCATCCTCTCAATTAAATTCAAATAATCCAGAAAGCCGAGTGATAGGGAATCCGAATGGAGAATCCGTCACTCCTCTGCCCGGATTGATGGTGGGTTTGACAGTTCCAAAATTCAACGTCTCACGATATTTCTCAAATCTTCTCCGAACGTTGTTTTCACTCGAATCACTTCTGACACCAATGTTATGCCCAACGATGTATAATGAAGGACACAGGGATTCATTAAATAGATGGGGCGGTTTATTGTGTACACAGAAAGGAACACGATGTGTCTTGTACCAGAGCTCCGAGGAAAGTCATCCAATCTCCAAGTTATCCCAAAAAACAGGCGTTACCAAGGGAGTTTAGTGACATCCTTCAGATGATAGACAATTGCATTCTGATTCGAAGGGGGATACACAACATTATTTTAGCTGTGGAGGTCGCTATTTGATTCTCCATTTTCAAAAGAAACATTTTGACACCTTGAAGAAATGGGAATGTCTTAGGTTTAAAGGATATTCATACAGTAAGAGAAATAGAGAAGAATCTTATCCTCACTTTAGTGTAATTAATTCATTATTTTTAGTATCAATTATCTCACTGTATTTATCAATTGGAGAAGAAACCTATTTCCTCGATGAAAATTACGTTTAGTGAATTAATAGTAGAAAACAATGGAAAACAGTTTCATTTTTAGAAGCCACCTGTAGTCTACGAAGGGCCATTGATGACGTTTACTCATCAATGTTGATTTCTGTCTTTGTTTATACAAAATTCTAAAGATCACCAAACATGTTTGTCAGTAATAAATTGATCATTTCAGTGTTTAGGAATAACCCCAGTAGAATTGTTGCAACGAGATGTCGATTTCATCGACATAGCATACAACGAGCTCTCTGCGAAGCACTACAAAGAGGAAGAAGATCCCAAATTCTTTCAGTCGAAGAAAACATCTCGAGGACCACTTGTTGAAGGCTGGCATGACACGACAAATCCAATTATGTGTTCTTATAAACTTGTGGATGTCTCCTTTGAGGTCTGGGGCCTGCAGACACGTGTAGAGGAATTTATACATAAGGTAATGGATGAAATTAATAGAATTAATGATTTTTCAATGACTTATTTCATAATGGTTGCGGATTCTGAAGAATTCAAAAAATTATGTAGTTCGAAGAGATAAACATTTTTGTATCAACATCTCGCTCGATTTTCAAGAATTTGAGAGATAATCAAAACAGTGTGATGAAACGTTTTGTATTAAAAGTGTTCATTCTCTCAATTTGAACAGCTCCTGTTTCAACTTTTTTTTCATGTCAATTAATCACACAGATAATTGTCCATCACCTGGGGAGCAATCACTTTCGTTCGAAAAAACTTGTACACTGAATTTCAAGATTTCAATATCTCAAGGATTCTGAGATTTCATGACCTCTTTAGGAATCTTCAAAGGTTTCTGAGAATTTTAAAGCTTTGAAAGGATTTCAGAGTGTTTCAAAGAATTTTAAAGGGTTTTAGATTATTTTAAACATGCACTTGAGAAATTGCATATACTCTCAACGAATTGAAGTGAAATTTCTAAATTTCACGCACGCTCGTTCAATTTCTATGACAAACATTTGAATATATCTCTTAAGGAATTTGAAAATTTCTCCATGCCGCTTCTGGAAATTCACGGCATCTCACAGGATTTCGTATTCAATACGATTTCATGAGATTTTCAGAGAATCAAGGATTTCAGAGATTCCAAAGAATTTTATTTGATATTTTATAGTATTTCAATACCACACGCACGAAAAAATTTCATAGAAAAACCTAACAAATTCAGGAGGGAATTCTATTGGAAATTCTATTTATTGCTGGCTAATTCTAGTAACCCATTGCCAGGAAAGAGTCGCGAATCGTCTCGGTATGAAGCAAGTGGGGGTAGAGCGAATCAGCGCGACGCGTCGAGCGGTGTGAGTGGGGCGTAAAGATGTTAGTATGTAAACCGGTCCCCCACTTTTCATCACGCTAGGGTCGAAGCTAGAGACCGTAAGCGCACGACAACATTTTTTTTCTTTTTCATGTATGAGAGGATTATTTCAATTTCGATTATTGCAAGTAAGTAGTAAATTACTATATAACAGTTTTCAACTAAGCAATGTCATGAAAATATTCACGGCATTCACGAATTATTTATAGGTTATATATGTCAAAATGGATAAAATTCCCACTAAAAAACAGAAAAATCGTCAGTCGAGCCGGGTGAAACTCCCTACCTTTCAAACACATCCGAAAAATTCAATTACATTTCTTATGCTTCTATTAATATTCGAGAGGCGCCGAGTGTATAGGTTATTTTCCAGAAGAATATCCGTGGATTTTTGGAGTGGGGTCCAAGCATGTGAGTGCACAGATCTCTATACTAACTGGATAGACTATCCTGTAAGACACTGGTGGCCCAATTTGGACGGTCACCCAGCGTCTCCGTTGTATGGCCTAGGAACTAAGCGCGCCGTCAGCGCGTTCGCGCGACCGTAGTCGCATAGTGGGGAGTGCGTAATGTGACCTGGTAAAGTTGGAAAATTGAATGGACATTTTTCTGATGTTGTATTAGACAATATCGAGATTTGAAGGGAGAATTTTCATTGTCGCCAATTCAAATGTTAACTGGGACGATTGTCGGGGGCAATAAACACAGAAAGTGGAAAAACCATTCATCTTCCGACAAATTCTTACATAAATATGAATTCTCTTTTCAAAATAGATATTGTGTAGTGCAATGAGGTGATATTACCGTTACAGGAGAGGATGAAACAAAAAGATAGTAGAAGCTCGATTTTGATCAGGTTTAAGTGCAATAGCATGGGCGGAATGATAAGGACAATTCGATGCAGATCTAATTGAAATTGTAACGCGATTTTCTCGTTGCGGGTTGAAATCCCCGTAAAAAGATATGTGAACTCTTAAAATTATTGAAGAGAGATAAGTAGTGACATCTAGAGGCGGCTGAAGAAAGCTGGGACTAGATGAGATGAACCGCAAACCGATGAAAGACCTAAGGCATAGCGGTTATGGGTGAAACCGCGACCCCTGGAGGTCTAGAGGACGTGACTAGACTATCGCTATTTTGGAATTCGCCCAGCATGTGCTAGGGGAAAAGGGGCCGACGTACAAGCTGTCCAACTGGGCGATTCCATAGGCTATGTCAGAGTAGACTAGGAACCACCGGCCAGGTGAGAGGACTGGTGCCCCCGGGATCCCGTCGGGTTGATTGGTGGGGATAGGGTAACGGAATGACCTATCGTCGCTGAGATATCCAGACTAGGGGGAGAAGGCCCTAGTAAGATTCTGAGTTAGTCGAACGCGGACGTTCAAGCGGGAAAGTCGAAAGGATTTCTCCGGCGCATACTGTGGTGTTGGCTTGGAAGATGGCCAAGGGAATGGTGGGCGAATAGCTCAGCGCAGCCAGGTGCATAACTGACGGTAGCGAACGGTACCGTTTGTGGGGAATGCAGGAGCATTCTCCACAAACGGGAAAAAGAGTTATTTCGGAACTCTTGGTGACGACCTTGTGGTTTCCGGCATTATCTGGCCTCGGCGGAACGATTTGAGGCGTACGGGCCCGTGGGCTTGGAGTACAGCAATCCTCCTGTCGGCCCGACCATACGTCGCCATTTCTAGTACTACCCGGAGGCAGTCATGCGCGATGACCGAAGCGGTAACTTGTGGCCGAGAGTGTGGGTGGTCGTGAAGTGGGTAACAGTGTTCCAGTTTGGTCGGATCAGCCTCTCGGCGTCCCAGGCTCTGAGGAGTCCCGGCTGATTCGCATTTAACTCTGAAATACTCCCGAGTCGAAATACTCGGGAGGAGAAAGCCTACTGAGAGAGTGAAAAACCCTCCAGGACGAGTGTAAATTCAATTTGCATGGATGATTAGGCCGTGAGGCTTAATTTCCAGCCTGGAATAGTGGCTGATGACGTTTGGCATAGGATACTCCTGGTGGACCGCGCCCACTCTACCGTATCACACTGATGCTAGCTGGACAACCCTTTGCCCAGCCACAGAAGTCTTCTGAGTGGACGAGTTTGCCTCAGAGGCCGGTTGTCGTCGAGCCTTCCGTGAAGGTTCGGCTGGCGCCCGATTATTGAGCGATAGAGATGGCTAAAAAGTAGTTTGGATTTTTCCTGGGTGAACAACCCGGGAAAATATCTTTACAAAATATAATAAAATAAAATAAAAAAATCTAATTGGAATAAATCTTTTTCTGCAATAGAAAATAACACATGGTATTTATTAAAATTATTTTTCATAATTTCAAGGACTAATACAATACAACAAAAATATTCAACAGACTGTGCAGGCTATATCATTGGCAGTTTTATTATTTTATCGCCATTAGTGAACTTCTCATATCTCCAAATTATTGCCCTGCATTGTCGAATGCAATTCATATTTACTCTTTCTTTTTATTATGATTGGAGCCTATGTTTCATATACATTACCTCCTGCAATATCTACTTATAGTTGTATTACACATTTCACTGATACAAAATCAGGAACTTATGGAAAGACAATTCTTTCGATTTGGTGGATCTTCTTTTGCAGTATTCACACCGAATCATTTTTGTAAAAGTTTACAGAATCGAAGGAATGAATTATTTCGTAACGTCACTGACAATGGAACTTCCTAAAGACATTCCCACGGACAGTTGATTGACAGTCACCGAAATGACAGATATTTGGGGGTTATGGGATCGGAAAAATGACACAGTCAGATAACCATCCCCCCTATCTAGCATTCTAGTCGCGCAAGCGCATTGAGGCATCCTGTAGTTCCAAGGCCATACAAGGGAGGCATTGGCGAACTATTCAAGGCCCTCAATTTCCAGCGTACTCGGCCCGTAAGGATAGTCTATTCAGTTAGTATAGAGATCAGTGTGTGAGTGGGAATTACATAGAGTGGGGGTACCCTCGGAAGGATAAACTTCTACTGGATAGCCTATATGGCTCTACTACTGCCATCCCCATTACCGCCGTCTCACGCATGGCATAAGAGTGGGGACGCCTCGTCCGTGGCAATCGGTTAAAGAACTAGGGGGCTACGCTTCCTGCTCGCTCCCCTTGCCAACCCCCATATGATCCACATTTTATCTTCATATGACCCCAATGATCTTTATTCTGGCCCTTGTGGCTCTTAATCTGACCCTCGTGACCCTTATTTTGGCCCTTAATTTCGGATACTAAATTTTCATCACCAGAAGTCGATTTGGATTTTTATAATATAGAAAGATGTATCGTGAAAATGTACATCTGTGGATAGAAACAGTCAATCTAACAATCAATTATAGTAAAGGACAGGGTTGCCAGACGCTGAGGAACGTTACTCGCCAGCGCCCTAGGCAGAAATCGCCAGAACCCGCCACTGACAACACTGGAGACCGCCAAAAAATCGCCAATTTGGGGAGAGACAATTTGAACAAGAATAGAGTCGAAAATTCAAGTTTTATTGATGTTATCATCCTATTATAAGTCAAATATTCATTATTCTGTTGTTAACATAGAGGCTAATATATTTCACAAACGTAAACTTCTATTTGATCGATAAATCATTTCGAATTTTGTAACAAGAATTATGACAACGATTCTAGTCGATTAGTGGCGACTGGAGACATTGCTCTTCGAATTGAGCAAGCAAATCGAACATTTCATCGGCTTCATTCAATTGCAGAGCTTGCAGTGAGTGGAGAGTATGCTCGTCCTGTTTCTCAATGTCAGTCTTCTCATACATTTTACTATTGAAAAGGGCTAGCATCTGACTTGTGGGTTCATAATCCCGACAACAGAAGCCATAGTCTTTCAGATGTACTCGAATGCATACTATTGCAACTAACATGGGTAAAAGCATGCGATTCCTGACCTTATTCTTCACTATCGTCATAACACTGAATATCCACTCGATATCAGCGTTACTTGTGTAACGTGACATTTTTGTATGAGGGTTAACAATGCCTATCACCTTCGTCCATTTTTCCCTAAATCTAATTAAACTCAAAGTAAAACAAATAACGGGCGCCAGATAACTTTTGACCGGAGTTA